AATGAACTTTATAAATTCGAACTTAATTTGATTTTTGATCCCATAAAACAATGACGTAAATTTAAAAAAATTCAAAAGCACTCAAACAAATTAAATTAAAATTACCAAGTCGTTTTAGAAAGATAAAGAATGTTCAATTATTTACAAATATCGAGACCATATCTTAAAGATATAACAACCTTTTCTCGATATATTTAAATAAACGAACATTTCCTTTTCTCTCGTTCACAAATTTTAGGTGACGAATCAATTTTTTGGTTTCACTTTCGGGATACACTTTTATTTTAAAATCATTAAAAGCAGACCTCAAATCAGTTATGACTGCCCACTTAAAACAATTTTAAATTAAAAGGGTATTACCCTTAGTCCGATTATGTAATATGTCAAGTTATGCAAATGAGGATATCATACAAATTGTGCAAAAAATATGTCATGCCAAAAATTAATTAAACAAAATTAAAAATATCATACAATGTGACATACAAAAAATTATGTACGTATGTTTTAATTAAAAATAATAAATTATGCATATTAACATATTATATACACATGTGACCTAAATATCATAACATGCTAAACTATAAATTAAAAGAATGTACATGTACACATTAAAAATGACTAAATTAAATAAATGTAAAATTCAACATACAAATAAAAAATAAATTATGGACTTAAATAAAACAACACGCATAAATAAGGTATCTACACCTAAATAACCCAAATTAAGTGGTTTCTATGTAATTTCCCTAACATACTAATCCTAAATATTTAAGGACTAAAAAGTAACGTAAAAAATAGAGTTCAAATGTCTAAAACAATAAAAGTTAAACACACTAATACTCAGGACCAAAATTGGATATGCGTAAAATATAAATAATAAATTAAAAATATTACAGACTCGATTCTAGGACTAAAATGAAATAGAAGTAAAACTTAAATGGCTCATGAGAGGAATAAACGAAGAAGGAAACGGGTGCCCTAAACCCCCTGAACGATGTCGTTTGTTGTTTCACTTTAAAAACCTTAGACTAAAAAACACAAAATCCCTAATTATTACTTCTACCAACTCACCTCGTCGTTTTTCCCTATCTCTCTTCCATCCCCTCCTCTTCTGGTTCGATCGAGCTCTAAAGCTCTAAACACCAACTACTGCTCAACCATCAAAGCTAACCCACTCCAACAAAGGCTCGAAAATAAAAAAATAAATAAAATCTCATTCCCCTCTATTCACTTCGAATGACGCCTCTCTTCTCCCCTAACTCTCGGCCACACACAACTCTACACTCTCCTTTGAACACCGCCGCAGCCGTTCTGCCACCATATCTTGGTGGCCTCTTCCAATCACAATCCATCATCTCTCTCTCTCTCTCTCATACCTCTCACGCCCCTTTGTTTTTAAACAGGAAGTTACGAAACTCTCTCTACGCCGATCACCGTGCTTAACAGTTCCAGTAAGAACCCCTCTTCCTTATTTTATTTTACTATTTCCTGTTTTAATCTCTGATTGGTTTTGTAACTCTAGCTCCAGTCCCTATCTCTATCAGTCTAATCCCACCTAGGCTACTGTCGCACAACTAAGGTAATTCTCTGATGCCTTTCTCTTCTCATTTTCTAGGTTTCGAAAGAAAAATTACAAAACCCATACATGAATGAACATTTCAAAGGTAAAGAAAGGAAATAAATAGTGATAATAAAATAAAAGAAAACCTGTTTATGGATTACTAATATAGCTTTCGAAACTCATTGCTTGTGCTAGTATTGTTGTCGAAATTCACTACTTGTGCTTAGAATATAAGGAATGAATGTTGTTTACACCGTTGGATCTCTGAACATAGGACATAAAACTTTTACACGCATTTGTTCTTTTTTTATTTATTTGTGTTACAAAAGAAAACAAATAAAAATCTTTGTTTCTCATGTAATGGTCTCTCCGTTCCCAAATTAATTCCCCTTATTGTCTCTCCTTTTTTCTTCCTCCCCCATTTTTTTTGTTGTGTGATCCCCTGTTTTTGTTCTCTCTCCCCTTTACAGTAGTTAATTCCCCCTTCTCTGTATGATTTCTGATGGTTAATGCCTCCAAAAACCGACCCTCACCTCCACTTTGCTTTTTAACTCCCAATAACCGTTTTTTAGTTTTTTTAGGATTTCACGTGGACTAGGCTTGGTCATTGAATTGGGCCTCCAACTACTCTGCTTCGGGTCTGCTCCGACTTAGCCCCGGATAAATCGAGCATCTACAACACCGATGAAAATGGGGAGGGTTTTGAGATTTTTAATCTCATATCTAGCCCTCCCCGGGGTGTTTTTAAAAAAACCGATTTCATATTCGAAGAGAGGGAAGATTGTTCCACGACCGTGTTCTTCATTTTCATAAAGAACACGATGAATGCCTTCAGAGGATTTTTCGGCTCTCGTTTTGATCTTTTGGAGGGGGAAAGATTGTGAATCTTGTTTATGGGTTGGTATTTACCAACCCGTGACCCGACCCATGGATCTGAAGGGATCCACGTGTTTTTTAAAATAAAAGGGGAAATTATGTTTTTAGTCCCTCTCATTCCTGAAAGGCATAATTCACCCCCCTAAATTTCAATTTTACCTGGAATGCTTTAAAATTTGCCACTCAATTTGTTTTTCTTGCAATTTAGTCCTTTTCCGAATTTAAATTGTTATTTTAGTTATTTAATATTACCTTATATTATATATATATTTTATATCATTTGTTTTAAATATATTTTTATATTCATTTTTATATTTTTTGGTTATGCTTTAGTTTTTTTCCTTTTTTCCTAATATTTTAATTATATATATATTGTTTATTATTATTATTATATTTTTTAGATATATTTTTATTTATTTATTTTCATTTTTCTTGGGTTTGTATATATATATATTATCAATTTTCTTTTTAGAATACTATTATATATACGAATGGTTTACTACATGCTCTCCCTCTCTCTTTTCTGTTTACATTTTACTCTTTTGTGTTTTATTTTCTGTTTTTTAGTCTTTGTTTTTTTTTATTCTTTCTTCTTCTTTAGTTGTATTTTTTAATTATATTTTTTCATTTTTTTATTTTCTAGGAGGTTTTATTATTTTATTTCTCTTATATTATTATTTTTTTCACGAATTTTAATATGTACACTTTTTCTATATTTCATTTAATTTCTCAGCATATATGTTTGTGTTAATATTGTAACTTAGCCCTTTTATGTTTCCTGGCTCAGCCTTTTTATCTAATGTTTTATTTTTTAAGTCTATTTTTATAAATTCATTAAAGGTAAACAATTTGGGTCATATCTTATCTTTTAATTTAAACTATAATTTTCTTAATAAAGATAACTGGAAATTAACTAATACTGAAAAGACAATTCAAGTGTGATAACCCTTTTTTGACTGTAACCGACTCCTGAATCCGATACATCTTTAGTAAAATGCAGATCGAATAAGATGGTATCCGATTAACCTAATTTTTATTAAAAAATAAATTATCGATGGCGGCCCCAATACAATTCATTCAAGTCAAAGCTTAATTTTAGACTCACCCAAAAAAAGGTTACGACAGTAGTATACCCTAATAAATATTAGCATAAATGCCAGATTAGATCTTCTTAATATTCATGGTTTGCAGCTGTATTTGGGCGGCAAATGTTTTTTATACCAAATTCTTGATCGTTAGCATATTCAAAGATCGTCCAGAGGGTCTTTGCCTCTCAACTTCCCCATCAGTCCATCACTCTTCTTATTCATCTTCTTCCTCCTCCCATGGCCACCCCACAACCACAAGAAAAACCAGCACACGTCAAGGAAACATGGCCATTACGAGATGACGAGTATACCCGATATTTTGAAGAAACGTTGTCGTCTTCTGTCAGCGGTTGTATCGGCGGGCTGTGCTGGTGGCGACGAAACACCAACGGGTATATGGTGCAGGCACAGGCGGAAGAGGTAAGACCAGAGAGTTGGGTGAAGAGAAAAGCTAAGAAACTGAAAGAGATATCGGAGGTATTGGCGGGGCCGAGGTGGAAGAATTTCATTAGAAGGTTTAGCACGTATGGGATTAATAAGAAGAGGAGGTCGATGATGATGCAGTTTCAGTATGATCCTCAAAGCTATCCACTTAATTTCGATCACAGGGAAGCTGGTGCTGGATTCCCCGATTTCTCTGCTAGATTTGCGGCACCGGCTGCGATCCACAAAGGGGATAATTCAGCAGTGTGAATTAGTCTGTTCAGCTCTAGATTGAGTATTCATTGGTCTTTCCTCTGTTCATCTGATTTCCAATCAATTTTCATGGACGCCCCCAAATTTCATTATTGATGATTCCGAAGGTTGGTGGAAATTTCTTTTTTTCGTTGGAGTAAAAGACTAGAAAGAGATTTATCATTTTTTAGAACAACGCAAGAAAGTGCATATGATTTTGTCTGCTCCTTTTTATTATGACATAATGATAAAAATGTTTATAATACTTTTTATGTAAAAAATAAAATAAAAAATTGATAGTTACTTTACTCCTCGTATATTTTTTATATTTTAGTCAATCAATTAAATATTTTAATTTAAGGGAAAAATCCATCCATTAATAAAAATTGTTTTTTAACTAATTGTCAAAGTTCTAAAATAAAAATTTTTTTTATCTTAAAATGAAATGTCGGATGTTACAATGCAAAAAAAAAATAAGAGCAAACATGATTGTTTAATTTAATGTTGTTGACTTTTTTATACTGAAATGAAATATTATGGACCAAAATGGTGTAAAAAAATAATATGAGGTAAAATAATTATTTAGTCAAACTTTAAGTTACAATTTTCCCAATGCAGGCAACAACATAGATCTGTTGCCGTAACTTCACTCTGGCACTATATCAAGGCTCTCACTACGGGAGAGCATATAAAACAGAGATTTCTTCTCCATTTTCATGACTCCTAATCTTGTCCAATAATAACAATTTCCCATTGCAGGCATCAAAATAAAGATAGATTACTGATGGACTGCCATGATTTTCTCGAAGAAATCTGTTGCCTTTGGGGCTCCAATCCTATTGAAGCATTGTTCATTCAACATGCTTGATGCCTGGTTGTTGCTCAAGCCCATGTATTAGGTGATGGATTAGGGAAATTTGTTCCAAGAAGCTTACACAGGGGAGGTACCCACAAAGAACCACCATTAATTCTCAAAACAAGTAATGAACTAGGGAACACGACACTCTGCCATTTCTCCCCTACAGGTTAGGATTTCTAAACTAACCTTGCAATCAAATCTTCATTAGTTAAAAAGGGTTTGTTGGTGTCACTGTTTTCCACCAAGCTCTAACCATCTTCACAAGGCATCAGAGTCAGATCAGGAAATAAGAAAAGACTCTCCTCCTCGCTCAACACTGGTTCCCGCTCATCCACGGCATGCAAGGGAAGAGTCCAAGTATTGTAGTGGACACAAGAGCCTATTTTCTCCTCTTCATCAACAGTTGAACTCCACATCTCGGTATTAAGCAGCAATAATGCAGGTATACATCAAAAGCAAGGCTACACAAAAGAGTACATATATATATTGCCAAATGAGTTATTAAACGACATGCATTTTGGGCTAACCTTGAATCTTTTCAAGTTGACATTGCTGGCTCTATGTTGTTTACAGGTAGCACGGATCGATGCTATCTCCAGTTGAATGAGTTGGAACAGTGATAAACACACTGCTTAGAAGAGCATGAGAACAAATGAATGAAGAACAACCCTCAAGGCTCAAACAGACCTTTCTCAAATAAACTCTTTCTTCCAGTAGCAGACTTTCCTCCTTAAGTTGAGCAAATGTCTGAAGAGAAGAGATGATAATAATATCCATTTTTCTTATTTACATATAACATATTTCACCATAATGATAAACCAAATGTACTTTCTTTTTCCTTGATATTTTGGTACTTGTGCTAGTGGTCTCATCAGCAGTAGTGCGCTGCAACATTCATTAACCCCATCATCACAAAATTGAAGCTTAAGAGCCAGAGATGCATAATATCAAAAAGAGTAATGTTTCTATTCAAACTAAAAAGACCTTTAATGTTAATTAAATCATCACTTTAGCTTTACTTTTTTTTAATATTTTAACTTCCAACGTTTTATGTTAGGATAAAAAACTTTTATTTTAAAACATTATCCGTTTAATGACTAACATTTTTCATTTATGATTTTAACTTTAAAATAAAACGTCAATATCAAATTATTCTAAGAAAAATAGATATCAAAAACTATTTGAAAGTATTTTTTTGTTCACATAGGTAGATGTGAACCAATACTAACAATGCCACGTCATACAAATAAGAATTTTGATTTCCCTGCTGCAAATTTACATTGTTACCTCACGTCACGTGACATATAGCACATGACCCTTCCTGACATGATCGGCTGTATAAGTATAACCTCAAATTCTCTTTCCAAAAAACAGAACCTACAGTTCTCTTTTTATGGACCCACCTTGACCTTACCGAATACCTTATTCTTTTGTCTGTTGAATCATATTCATAAAACATATATCATCACAGGATGGGACCACTGAGTTTTTTTTTTGTTTTTTCTTTTTCCAGATGAAATTGTCATCTACTGCAAACCATAAACTGGTAATGGCAAATGTGATTTGATTTACGAAATGACAGGAGAATTTTTAGTCCTACAGTTTAAAGTATGACACAGCACAAAAAAGTCAACTCACGAACTAGAGAGAGAGAGAGAGTGAGAGTGAAAAGAAACCTTGGATCTGGAAGGTGCAGCTGGTGGAGAGCCACGGATGTGACTACTACAGGTATCTTCAAAACCATCGGCTGCGGAAAGAGATGCGGCGCCACCTCCACCGCCGCTCCAAGAAAGAGGCGTGGTGGGGCTACCTCTACTGCTGACGTTGAAATCGTCTCCGTCTATCTTAGCATCGCACAGCATCAGCATGGGTCTAGACCTGGGCTGACTCATCCCCTATCTAAGAGCAGATTTGGGAGGCGATGACGCGTCCTGAGCTTGCTTGGGTCTTACCAGAAGCTCCACAACCACGTAGTCGTCAATCATCGCCTCCCGAACCCACTCAAGTTTCTCCGTCGTCATCGTCATCCTCCCAACGAAAGCAAAAACCGATGTGGATATGTATGAAGAAAAGAAGGGGCATGCAAGATAGATATGGGGAAAGGGGTGGCGAGGAAAGAGAGGGAAAAAGGTTGAAAATGTGAAAGAAAGTGATAGAGATGAGTGCGAGCAAATATATATATATTAAATTATACAAGTAAATAGGTTGAAGAGCAACAGTAGTGAGTATGTTGGGTAAATTAAAGTCAAAGGTGTAGCATTGGCTTATGGTTTGAGTTTCTGGGTGGTTTCCTTATACGAACAAGACAAGACAACACTCTTCGTCACCGTCGCTGGTCTTGGGGAGGGAGGCTTCCAAATCCGAAAATTCATTTCAATTATGATGATTGAAATCCTAGCAGTATCCTCCACTCTTAAACAAAAAAAAGCATGGACAAATAAAAGTATTGCTAATTAAATTATGGATCCATGTTATTTTAAGGTTTGATGGAAAAAATAAAATGCTCAAAGTATACTCTTAATTTTATATTTTTTAAAAAAATTTGTTTTAAGGTATACGGCGTTATTTTTGTAGGTGTTGTTGATATGTAATCGCCGTTAAAAAATTAGTTATCTCATACATGTCGCATTTATAAAATTATAAATCTTTTATTTAAATTTAAAACTTAAAATTATATTTAGAAAAAAAAAAACTCAATTTTTTTAAAGTCTCAAAAATTTCAAAACTTTAATTCCAAATCCCTTTACCCATGTCGATTACCATCAATATTTTTATGGTCGTCGCTCTTTGTCGTTAATCATTTTATCTAACTAGATCCCAACGTACGACGGGAAAAATCATTGTTTGATCGTTGTAGTCATCGCTCAAAGCAAGATGTTTCGATCGTTAGGGGTTCGACAATCGAACACCATTAGGGTTTTGACCGGTTGGCAGCGTTAATGGTAGTCAGATGTGATAAGAGGATTGAAATTATGGTTTCTAGAGATTCTAAAAATGAATACGAATAAAAGTGTGTTCGGTTCGCTTGTGTTCACGAACAATCTCATTTATTAACTAGTTTGTTTATGTTCATGGATAAGCTCCTTTAATGGCTTGGATTTGTTCATGATCCAAATCAAATCCATTTTGAATTTGTTATAAGAAAAAACTTAAATAAATAAAGTCTTAAAATTAATAACATTTTTTTTGTGAATTTAAACTTTTGTATATATATTCGATTTAAGCTTAGAGTTTGTTTTTTTTAATATTGAGTTTTAAAAAATAATAAATAATTAAAAATCATAAAATTGAACCGAATCAAATTAAAAGAAAATATGTCTTTTATATCATTCGATTTCAATTTTATTTTTAAGAAATCATATAATGTCATTCATTTTTTTATATAAAAAACTGAATCGAATACCCCCTACGATGAATGTAAAAACTCAGAAGTTCGACCCTCTAAAATGTACTGGGGTCGAGGAGCTGTTGGCTATACCAATGGCTATACCTATATGGTTCCGGAAAACAATATTACTATCGTTTTTAACATTATAGTGCTTTTTATCTTAACGCGAGTGAATAAATAACTGTTCTGAAGAGCTCAATTTCATGTGTTGTTTTTGCCTCATATTTTGGATACATCTCTCTCCGATTCTTTCTCCCAACTCCAAATCGCACAATTCCTTCCATTTGCCCAGGTAGGGTTTATCCACCCTCAACGTTGGGAGGCCTAATTCTTTAGGGTTTACGACATGTTAGGGATTGAATCAATTTGGGGGGTTTTTAGTTGAGCATTTTTATAAAAAAATATTATGTGGTTAAAGGATAAGGGTCTTTATTCTCTGATTCAATCGTTTGAAGATGACTTCCTTTTCGATCACTCGAAAGAAAACGCCTTTCCAGAAGCACAGAGAAGAGGAGGAAGCCAAGAAGAAGGTATATCGGTTTCCCTCACCTAAAAAACTCAAACCTCTAATTAATTTGGGTCCAGCTTGTTGATTCGGTCTTATTTCCTACTTTGAGCCAAAGTGATTAATTTTAACTTTTGGTACCCCCTCTCTTCCTTTCCCATTATCAGAGGGAGGAAGATGAAACTGCTCGATTATATGAGGAGTTCGTGGCTTCGTTTCAAGGTGATAATGCGCCAGGGTCGAAGGCATTTGTTCGGGGTGGAACAATCAATCCCAATGAGAAATTCAAGCCCAATTCTGAAGGCTAGTCTGAATCAGGAACTCACTCGATATTTGTTTTGGCAGAATTTTTAATATATTTGCCTCGGTTTTAAGTGTCAGCGATTTTGAGCAAGTAGAATGATTTTTGTATTATATCATGAGGACGCATTAATAAAAATATGGGCCTTGTTTATTCATTTGCGGATGACAGGTGAAAAGTCGAAAGATGGGGTATCTGTTCCAAAGAAGAGAAGTAGGTAAATTATTGCTTTGGATTAACCATGCTGCAACACTAATATTCTTTTGGCGAGGTGTCTTAAAGTGAAAAGATACACGGTGATGATAGTGATATTCTCACTCGACCCATGTGTTTTTAAAAGGCTTCTATAATTTCATCAAAAGATTTTCATATAGCAGTTAATTTCACTTGTATGTCATTAAATTTGAAAAGATTTAATCAGTTTGGCTCCTTTTATACTTTAGAAAGAGAAATACTTGTTATTTATGTCTGAATTAAAATTCATTTCCCACTCCATTGTGGATTTATTACCCTTTTAGTTTATTTGTGAGTCCTAATCTGCATATGAAATGAAAACTGTTTGAGAAGTTAATGACATGTTGATGTTGGCCGCCTTTGACACATTGAAGAGGAAACTGTAAGAGTTCCACTTCCAGTTGATAAAACGGAAATGTAGTAATTGAAATTGCCTAGGAAAAGTGTTAAAAATATGATTCATCTTGATTCTTAAAGATCGATTGAAGTTAATGGTTATTCTGCAATTTGGCTATTTTATCTTTTTCAGTAGTCATTATATTATATACCTTCATGTCATGAAGTCAGTAACAGTAATGTTATCCTTATACTGTATGGCTCGAATAGGATCAAAATATAGAAATTTGGATCAAATTTCCAGTGAAAGTAGTCTGCTAGATAGAAAATAATTGGATAGTGTCCTTGACCTTAGATTAGGAGGGCCCTCAACTCAGTTAAGTTCCATCACAAACAAGTTGGTGTTAGTTGCCTGAGTGGTTTTTTTCTGGATTTATAAGTTGGTTAGATAACTTTATCACATTTAGTTTTGACTTTTGAAGGATTTTAGCATGCTGCACCTTTCTTTTTTCTTTTAAATATGTAAATGCACTTTCTAGTCGGTAAAATTTTCTTATGTTAATGACAATTGGGAAACTGCACTTTCTAGGATTTTGTAGTGATTACATAGGAGAAAGATCCCCCCCCCCCCCCCCCCCCGGGGTGTGACCTGACTTGGATAACCTAAATTCCCAACTGTCCCTTAAAAAAAGGTCCTGTTTGCTACCAAAATTTTTAAAATGCTTTCAATTGCAGGAATCTGTTCCAGCATGCTAACTAACAAAATTTTGGCAAAAAATGAATCCACTAATGAATTCTAGGAGCAGTTTTAGTGTCACATAAAACCTTTTGATGATGGTTATCCTATAGTCTCCTTTAAAGTTGTTTTTGATAAGATTTTAGGCCTCATTAAAAAACCCCTTCTTGATTAATGGATCTTGTAGAGAAGCTCCTTAATCAGCGGAAGGAGGAAAAGAGTGCCTTAGGATTTCATTGAACATAAGTAGAATTACAACATAATTAAAACTCATCAAAATACCCCTTACAAGAACCAGAAAACCCACACCCCTTTCATGAACCAGAAACTCAAAAGAGAACCTCAAACAACAACATAATAGTCAGCCTATACCAGCCTTGGCTAAAACATCAGCCTCTAAGTTTGCTGTCCTTGTAACCCATCTAACAAACCCTCAATAACTCTAACAATAAAAGCATACACAACTGGGCATTAATCAACATTCTTAATCCAATCTACTGCCACCCTGTTGTCACTCTCAATAATCAACCAATCTTTAACCATCCCTTGAAAAGAGGCAAAGAAAAATAAGCCCCTTTGAATAGCTTTAAGTTTCATCAACGTAGGAGGTCCCGAACCAGCAGACTCTTTAAAAGAGCCTAAAATTGAACCAGAATGATCCCTTAAAACACCTCCAAGACCACTTTTCTTCCAATCACTGCTAATGGCAGCATCAACATTCAATTTGATGAAGCCCATAGGAGGAGGGGACCAAGGGATTTTAGATAACAACAGGATATTGTAGGAAGAGCAAGAATCCCCTAGGGAAGGATCAGAAATTATAGAATCCTTAGGAATAGAAATCTCCTTATGCTTAGCTAAAAACCAAGAAGCAAGCCTAAATCTTGGTAAGAAAAATAATTCTGTTTGATCAAGCTTTCCCCCTTCAAAAACAATATTATTCCTGACTTTCCAAATGGTCCAAAGAACAGCCCCAGGAATGAATGAGGAAAAGAAATGAAGCTTTGTTAAAGAATGGGTGGAACTGTGAAAAGAAATCTTTCTGGAAAATGGATGTTTATCTTTCATTGTATATATGCAGGTATGTTCCATCTTTCATACCACCTCCTTTGGCAGCCAAGGGAAAGGAAACTGAGAAGAAGGTAATTCTGTTAGTGAATTATGGTATACATTTGTATTTATATCATTCTCAATTGAGTTTTCTCACATGTGATATGTACATTTTGTTCAAACTTTGACAATGATGTTTCTAGAAGGAGGAGGAGAGGCCAAAAGAGAAAGAGAAGGGAAAGTCTCGGAACATTGATCATTTTATGGAGGAGCTGAAGCATGAACAAGAAATGAGGCAGAGGAGAAATCAGGAACAAGAACATTGGCCCGATGGGCGTCATAGTGACCATGCAGCTGTGAGTCCTTCAGTTGGATTGAAATGTTATTCCATAGCAGTGGCTA